CGACTGCTACAGGAGGCAATAGAGATCCACAAACACACGTATAATTTCAAGAGAGAAAAAGAATATGGAAACCCATTCTAAGGAGCTCAAGAATAGCAAACTGCATGACAGCAAGTAGTGATAAGTCAATGAATGTTAACGACAAATTACCTAATACAGGTACAGGTATTAGAACTCCAAACTAGCTGACACAGCATAAATACGCGTTACGAAACCGTAATTTTCAGTCATCGGATGTATAAATCTCTGAAGAAGCCAGCCACTCGCGCCAGCAAAACGTCAGGAAAAATCCCAAAAATCAACGGCCTTCTATCCCGGAAAATATTGTAAAGTTTGTGGCTTGGAGTATTCAATATTGTTGATAGCCAGCACGGCATCCCTAACACTACTTATAGCAGAATCCACTGGCCACTGTTCAGCTGAATATTGCATCCATATGTTCGTAGGAGAAAGAGCATACAACAAATATGAATTGGAAATTATGCTACAAAAGCACTCATTTGAAATTTACCATGTTTAAAGCGAGAAAGCTAATTTTAATTTCACATTAATATACCATATTTCTATTATTTACAAAGAGAAGTTACACTTGATTCTAAATATCGAAATCAACTGGCGAGCAGGCTTTGGCACCAGATTAATTCTGAGAATTTGACCCCCACATGTGGGTTTGGATAAATTTACTCCACGAATCATTTTTGTGTAGAATGTTTTGTGACACGTTCTGGAAGCCATTATTTCATCCAATAAAACTACATGAATGGAGTCACCATACCGCGTGGACAGCATCGACAACTTTTCAATGTTATAACTTCAATCAAAGATATCAAAGGTATCTGCTCCATTGGCTCAGTTTATTAAATTATTGCAGAATTGATTTTTTTGGTGTTTGATTTTGAATGACCCATTCCAAATGAAGTGAAATTATGACATTTTAATATAAACTATGTTCACCTGAATTGCTGGGTATACTTCTGACGTAGTACACTGTCACTTTGCATCACTTCTTCCACTCATCTATTCAAATACGTTGGTTTATTCAAACTGAATGTGGAATAGCGATCCTCCGAACATTTATAGATTTCTGTTACCGAATAGGTTACTACAGGTTAGGGGTTCATGGTGAATCACCAGCATATCCAGGGCTCTAAATGAAAATGTGATGTTGCTGAAAGTCATTCAAAGTCAAAGCAGAAAGTCTAGTAGTCACCTCGTATGCGCAATTGACCGTTGTTGTAAGTCTAATCTTCAAAACTTTAAGATCACCACGTGACATGGAGTGTGAATCAAAGTCGTTTGAGATTTAACCCAAAATACCACCCCGAATTTACCTTATCTGCGTTGATTCAAAACTACAAGATAGCCGCCTGATTGCCTTGGGTTTATTCGAAGTCAAAGTCACTTTGTCAAAAATATGAGGCGTCTATCAAGGTCGTTCAAAGCCAAACCCACAACTTCAGAGTCATCTTACTTCATCGTGCGACACGTCGCACGTATTACCTACGCTTAATGGTTGTTTTAAGGTCAAACGTGATGGGAAAGGTTTCGAAATCGGCGTAAACCAACTACTACTGTGCTTTTCGTTGGTATAAGGTAGGTATTTCTTTCATCGGATCTTCACCTCCACTTGTAGCTGAAGGGAACATAGACCTATAGTGATTTTCAAGGATTTGTCATCTGAGAAAGTAATTAGACAAAATGAATTTAGTCAACTCTGAAACTAACAGCTTGGAGTTTAGTCATTTCAATATCGGAATATTCAACTGACTCGAGAAATTGATTCAGATAGTCATTTATTTTCACCACTTGAGCAAGGCTATTGTGAAAGGGAAATTTATTAGAGGTTACTGGAAAAGTAACGATTACAAGTAATATCTTTGAATTCGAAATCTCATTCACACATGCATCCCAAAGTACATAATAATTTGGATATAGCTGAACCGTTTTTCAAAAGGAAATATGCTGAATGAAAAAGTGATGGCATTAACATTAGAGAGTCCGTTTTTATAAAAATATCTGCCTTGAATAGTCTCTCAATTTTTCCCATACTCTTTTTTGACTTCTTTCACTCTACACTCTTTCCAAAATACTTTGACCTCGTCTTGAACCTCCTATATTTTGTTTTAAGTCGTCCCCAATTCTTTAAGTTTTTCTTTCGCATGTTCCAGTTTTTCTTATTTTTTCTTGTTGCCCGAGTTGTTTCAGCAACTTTCATAATAATTTCCTTTCCTGTTTTTTTTTCTTCAATTGCTGTTATTCCTTTCTCTTTCTTTCCATTTTTCATTCATTCATTTCAAGAACTCGCAGATATCTGACGTTATCACCAGCTTGTCGTGTGGAGTTAGTTGCTCTTGTACCATTTACACTGAATCTGCTTTAGTCTTCCATGTAACGCATAGAGGTTGATTGAATAACTGACACACACTGGATATTATAGAAAGTATAGCTTGAAAATACTTTTACTCATACTTCATGCTCTCCAGGAAAATTAGCCGTTATTTTATTTTTATTTTAATTATTAAGTAATCTACAGAACAAGCAGTTCCAATAATCGATTACAATATCAAAAACTGATTAAAAAATCATTCTCAATGTAACACATTGACTAATACTGAAGTTACTCCAAATCGCCTGAATGAAAATCAAATTCAAAGACACATTCAGTTGAAAATGACAAATGGACCTTTTTCATTTGAATTTACTCTTAGTTACAAGGATAACATCTCAATTTCAATATTTTTTTAAAATGTTTTTACATTACATTTGACAAAGGAATCTATATATATTCTTCAAACATTTTGCAAGAGAACATATTGTATAGTGGGGAATTTAAACCTAGATTGGTTCGAGGTTTAGGAAAAACAAATATATCTTCACATCTTTATTGACGTATGTACTGCAGTTCAGATAAATGTTTGACAACAAGTGTGGATTATCTACTTTATTATGCAATAGCTTATAGAAAAATAATAGAAAAGCAAGTTTTCTTCTAAATTCTAAGGTTGTGAATTTAAATTCATTCAAGGAAGTATGATAACTAAGAATGATGTTTTATGTAATGTAGAAATCTTAAGAATTTTTTCTGTACCTTTTCAATTTCATTTTTATGAACTGAATAATAAGGAGGCCATATTATTGAACCATATTCCATTATACTACGGACAAATGCATTATAAAGTATTGTGAATTAGAATGAGTTCCTAATAATGAAGCTGAGCATTTTATATGCTCTGTTTATAATGTTGGTCATATGTTGCTCAAAAGTGAGTTTTTCGTCCAGCGTAACTCCCAAATCTCTACATTCTGTCTTCTTGGGTAAATATTCATTGTTTATCTCAAACTGAAAATCATTCCGTAGTTTTTTCCAAGTAATTGACATACTGAAGCATTTGTAGCAAAATCAGATCTTCTTGACTTTTGATTTCCTTGAATAATTTAAAATTACCCGCGAATAGTGGACATTGCGAGTCCTGAACTACCTCTGGCAGATCATCTATTAGTAATAAAAAGAAGAGGGGTCCTAAATTGGACCCCTGGGGATACACCAGATCTTGTGAAGAAATCCTCTGATTCCCATCCCTTATAAACTACATTCTGTTTCCTGTCTATAAGATACGAAGTTAACAGCTTCAAGAGTCGATCTGAAAACCCAAAAGTGTATAGCTTTTTCAATATAACCTCATGATCAACCTTGTCGAAGGCTTTACTTAAATCTGTGAAAATAATATCTAGTTGACTATTATTCTCGACAACTTGATTAGCCTCTTGTATAATACATGTTAGGTTAGTTATAGTGGACCTTTTAGGTGAGAACCCATGTTGTTTTTCACTTAGACATGGATAAACGTGATTTATAATTTTTTCCTGAATGATTGATTGGAAAAGCTCACTGGATGCACAAATCAGTGATACTGGCCGATAGTTTTGTATATTCTCCCTAATGCTACTTTTAAATATTGGTCAAACTTAAAGGTGCTTCCAAAGTGTAGGGTAAGTACTATTTTGCAAGACTGAGCTATATATTATTTTTAGGGGTTTGATCAAGAGTTGTATGCTTCCTTCAACTATATAAGAGGGAATTATATCTGGGCACAAGAATTTTTTGGTTTGAATTTTTTTGCGGCTCTTAGAATATCTTCATCATTTACAGAATCTATATCTGAACAAGAGTTCGTTAGAAAAAATCCATCAAGACTTTCTGTGTTATAATCCGCTTGATCTTTTAAATATACGCTCAAAAAATTATCTTCGAAAGCTCCTGCGATATTTTGATGAACATTAATTAAATTAAAAAAATTCAGATATCTGTGTTCAATTGAAGATAATCTCTCTTTGTTACCTATATATTCTTGAAATATGATAGGCAGACACGATTCCTGCTGATTGTCAGGGCAAAATTAGTAACAATTCCTCAAAGAAGAAAATTCGCTCGAATTTCTAGAAGTGCGCAGTAAAGTTTAGCTGCTCATTCTTGTGGAATGAAGTTTTCGATACCGGTTTGGAAATAAACTACAGCGATTTGATATACGCCTGAAGGAGCTATCGTTCAATGTGGATGTGAAAAGTATCCTTCTGTCAACTTTTAAATGAACTAGATATGGAAGTCGGACATGAAAATACATTCTCCTCAATACTTTATGATGTAAATAATATTAGTAAGCCATCGATATATCACTATTAACATTTTTCAATAGAAAAGGAGATCTTGTGATGCCTTATTTGGAAGATATTTCCATTCTCTATCCCTTCTGATTTGTTGGAAATCGATTCAATCTTTCCTGAGAAGTTAACAGTTCTATATTCGTTAAAAGTCTGGAAACAAACGGTGAATATCATAATTTCAAAACAAAAATTTTTCTAACTGACAGAAGTTGAGGGAAAAGGTGTCTGAAACGTTTACACTGTATAGTAAAACACGTTGTATACACTGTTTTTTAAAAATCTCACAAAAATATGGAGCAATAATGAAACGAATAACAGAAATTATGATATGCACTTACATGAAAAAGATTCTGGATAATAGATTACTTTTATATTCAATATTTTCATTTTTGAGTTCGGCCCCGAAATTCATTACTTCCAATAACTATTTCTGGTGAAGGTAAAAAGAAAATCACGAGTTACGAAATACTGCTAGTAAATAATATTATACGCGTTCATTTGACTATAAAAATTATTTTTAATGAGACCATTGAAATTGATAAAAACTGTACTCGCATAACAATGTGATAATGAAATAAATGGAAAGTTTTCAAATAGTCGGAGTATTAAACAAACACTGATGAAAAAGCATGCTTGTGTCTTCCAATCTCTGCGGCTGAAATAGTGGAAGTCCCATTTCCTTCAGTAGGATCAATAAAATGTATCAACAAATACTTATTTGTGTTGAAATTAATATGAGTTAGTTGAAATCTGTACAAGACTATGGCAAGACTTTTCCTACGAATGTTTTCTGATTGTACCAATGAATAAAAGTCATTGAGGATACAATAAAGGCCATGTATAGTTTTCAAAATACAGAGTGACAAAGTCAAACTATCGAGCAACATCGCAGATAATCATCGGGAATATCCAATTTATTCTGTTGATGTATATATAAAAAAACAACTAAGTATAAACCTTTATCATACGTTCAAAAATTATCCAATAAAATCAACAAAACAGTGAAAAATGCAACATAACCATAGGACATCGATTACAGGATACAAATAAAACCTTATACTCGAAATTAAAACCTGAAATCTCAAAAAATAAACAAACTCACACAGTATATAGGATACCATGCAAATATTCTGAAAGTACATGTATAGGTCAATCCTAACAATGCCTACAGAAACGAATACAAGTACACAAATTTTCGAAAACTGACATTACTGCCTTGTCCAAACATGAAAAAGAATATAAACATAAATTCGACTTTGACAAAGTTGAAATTTTTACCAAAGAACGGAATCCAAAAGTTAGAAATTTTCTTAAAATGATCCACATAAAGAAAGATCCCAATAATGATAATAATAGAAGCGATATCAAGAACCTCAATCAAGTCTATAATAACTTACTAAAATAAAATGATTTTTACATCATTGGAAATTACAAAAAGTTAACTAAAGCTCACATACTATAATCGAAAAGATCGAACATGCCAATCAATTTTAGAACTAGGGGAAAAAAGATAACAGATAAAACAAATTCGACACCAACAATTGAATTAATTCATACATTCAATCACTATCATTCTGAACAAGAAAATGAAATAAGTACAAAATTGTATTCCTGTTCAATTATTTTTTAAGTAGAAATCATAAATGTTTCCTTCACATTAATTTCTACACATATTTGATTTAATGTAACGAATTATGTTTTCAACCTCTTTACAATATTGTACTATTTTAAAGATTCTAAAGCTGAAGATAACATAAACAATGTCGAAACGTTGTTGAATAAAAATACATAGACTGAATAAGACCCTTATTCCAGACTTACTCTATTTCACAAATCGCCAAGCTTTCGTCTCCGAATAGAGACTTCGTCAGGACGCTAAAATGAAATACAATAGAAAAAAACTAAAAAAAAAAAATAAAAAATACTTACAAGCAATATGAGTTTTGCAATTCAAAATTGAATACTGATGAAAAAATTTCACAAAATTGGCGCAGATATAAAATCAAATATTATCAAAAAATTGTTTTTTGTTAGCCTTCGAATTTTTCAGCCAACGTTATTTCGTACATAGTGTTGAAATTGTGATCGTTCACCAAAAGGTGGCAAGCATGTGTCGAATTGGTCTTCTTCAGTTCGAAACTTCTTTCATGTTCGGAGATAGTTATTTAATTTCTTGAAGTCCTTCCTACACACACTTTTGGGTAGGATTCACATGTTGGTTTGTAGACAGATAACAGATCAGGTGTCTGAAAATGAAAAATACAAAATTACACAAAGAAGGACCAATTTTATATGCCCACCTGGGGAATATAAAATTGCAATTGAGTAATGAAGCTGCGATCGAAATATTACATTCATCCCAATGAAAACACTATTGCCAATCTTTTAGGGTTTGAGGCCGATGTGTTCAGCATCGATGATACTCTTGAATCAACATTGCCCGTAAATATCAATAAGGTGATAATTTTTCGTGTGGATTGTAATGTCATATTCAAATAGAGATAGAAACTTCTGAAGCAGCTACTACGATGAAGCTATGAGTGGGCCGATGAAGGATATTGGTAACTTTCTAAAAAATTCACTATTTATCATCTATTGCTCCCACTAACCCGATGCTAAGGAGTCATCTACTGTCGACATCAAAATAGAATTCAAAACACATAAGATGGAGTTTCCAGCAAACACCAAAGTATATGCACTCATCCTCCATGATGCTGTTTTATCTTATAATGTCCCTAATGGTTTTGTTCAAACTGGACTATGATAAGATTGCCATGTGAATCTTTGATATTATCAAATAAAACACACAATAATTCTGTGCAATTTGATTTTTTTCTGAAATTGAAATATGATAAGATTGACATGTAAATGCTGGATATAATTGTTGTGCTTTTTATTCATCATCCTGATATAGATATACGATATACAGTGTCACCATTAAAGTGCGCACCATATGGGAAACTTTTTTTTCGAAAAGTTTCAATGAAGTTTAACTCCGGCACTTGTTTGTGCTTTGAATTTAACCGAAAATGATGCGGCCAACTACGACCCACTGACGTTCAGTGTTTGTCAAATTCAACTTTTTTTTTTAAAAAATTAAAAAAGTGCATTTCTAGATCGAATTTAAC